TCTCGTTTTTTTATAGCCTGCGTTATATAACCTTTCCGAAGTGTAACTATGAGTATATAATGTCCAACTACCTGCAAATAATGAAGAGGACTGTTGTTTTTTGGATTCAGATTAAGTGTTGGTTTTTATGCAGTATACCGCCTCAAAATGTTTTTTTTATTATACAATTTTTTTAAAGGAAAACTAATGTTTTGTATATTGTTATACTGTTATTCATTTAAAGAGATTCACGCTTGATTGTTTAAATTGTCTAATATTAGATAATCTGCTTCGTGCTAATTTTAATTTTTTAGTTTATCAACTTGTAGCTCTAATTTTGTATAAAATATTTCATTATTTTATTACTATGTACTATTACTATTAAGATAAATTTTAATAATAATTAAGTCATAAATGATAATACTTTATTTTATGACTAGATCAAATCTCGTGAACATTTAACATCATGATACTGCTCCTATGCTATTATTAAAAAAACACAATTTTTAAAATCTCCATAAAAGGTTATTGTTAAATAACAGGCAACAGCCGATTGCTAGTTATACACGTTAGTAATATTTAACTAATAAGTAATATATGTAGGTAAAATTTGTTGTTTTCTCCATCACAGTACCAGTATACGATTTATTTTAATTTAAATGTAAGAAAATCGATTTTTCTTTAGAAAATAACAAGAAATTATTATACAGGATGAGGCAGTAAAACGGCGATTTTCTAATGTATTTAAATGGTAAAACCCGTTTCACTATCCCACCCTTTACATTTTAAGGATCTATGAAAAGGTTTTTTTAGTTGCATTTTATTTTGTACATTGTCAATCTAGTAAAATAGAAGTATAATATAGCTTTGAAATAATATAATCTGTGAAGTATAAATAGTTTGTGTGAGATTGCTTTAATGGAAGTATATAATACATAAATATTAATTTTATTGAGAATAAGCGATTATAATTTAAACTATGGAGTACAAACGATTGAAACATGAATCGTCGACCATTCCAACAAAATATAACAAGACATTGTATATGTGTTATTTGGTCCACTAAGTTTTTGCAAAAAAAAAAAAACCAGAACAGAGGGGTCGGTGCATAGTGGGGACGGAGCATAGTTGGGTCGGGGCATAGTGGTGACGGGGAGGTCACAGGTTTACAGGAATTTTTAAATCTGAAAGTGATAAAATCACTTTCGAAAAAACGCTTCGATGCAAATCGGTAGTTAGTATTTTCAAGCCAGTACAGTCCAAACCAAGCACAGTATAAACCAGCAAAGTTAGAAAGTTTTAAATGAAGATTCTGTATTTACAAATGAGCATCAAAGCGTTTTTTTGAAAGCGATTTTATTCAATTTTATCACTTTTATTTATAATAATTCTTGTAGACCTGTGACCTCTCCGTTTCCTCATTGCTTTGATTACATTATGCCAATACTCTACTGTACTAGTCCTCTCGGATAAAATCACTTTCAAATAAACGCTTTGATGCTCATTTGTAAATACAGAATCTTCATTTAAAACTTTCTAACTTTGCTGGTTTATACTGTGCTTGGTTTGGACTGTACTGGCTTGAAAATACTAACTACCGATTTGCATCGAAGCGTTTTTTCGAAAGTGATTTTATCACTTTCAGATTTAAAAATTCCTGTAAACCTGTGACCTCCCCGTCACCACTATGCCCCGACCCAACTATGCTCCGTCCCCACTATGCACCGACCCCTCTGTACTGGTTTTTTTTTTATTTTATCATATTTATTCATAAGTTTGGAATAATTTATTACAGACAAATATATCAAAGAGGTTTTCGATGCTGGTAAGATACATTTTTATTTTCAGATGACTTATAAACTAAAAACAAGCTATAGTTTTTTTTTTATATCAGTTCAGAATAAGAGTTAACGGAGTATATAGTATCAGTATACCAAAATACTGTACAAATACTAAAATCAAAATATCAGGGATATCCTGTGCCTCAACTTGGTCCGAACGAAAGTAAGCATTAAACAGGCATTTAATAACTGACGTAAAAGCCAATAAACCAAATTTTTTTTATTTTGAAACACTTTAACTTATACTTTTACAGATTTTGAGAATGATTCATTGGTGAAGAGAGAAGACGTATATTAGAAAAAGTTACAAGATATTTACTTATCCATGCAATAGGTATATATTAATATTTTATGTAGATTTGTACTAGTTTTACGTCTAATTATAACTGTTCTACTTGATGTACCAGTCAAATCATAAATGTTTAATATATACATACCTCAACAAGTAAAGCTTTTAGCCACATAGATTTTTGAATAGCCGCTGCTAACACCAGCTGATATTCGGTCACCGTTTTAGAAAGTATTACCGACTAATAGAGTGAAAAAATCCATAACAACAACTCAAAGAAAAGTTCTGAAGCAAACTGCGGTTATTCTTTCTTAAACGTATTTTAATAAATTTCATTCGAAATAGGTGAAATAATGTAGGGTATTTTTTATGGAAAATGATTTGTTTTTCATTGGTTACGCGTATACACGTGTATTAGCTGTGTTTTAAACAAAAATCAAAAGTATGTATGGGCTAAAAGTTTTCAATAATAATTTTTTTACAATTTTTTAGATATAGGGGCACCAAAATTTCACAACCTTGACAAAATATGCCTTCTGTTAGGTTTGCTTCGAAGTATGGAACACCCAGATTCATACATAAAAACCGCTAGTGTAGCTCCAGCTGGCTACGAATGTATGTTAACTTTACAAAATGGCAATACATTCCAATACAGACCTCATCTTGGCTTTTTTGCTGCTGTAAGACCACTAGGTGGTAATCGCGTTGGAAATGTAGATGTTTTGAGAGATGTACACTCCTTGGTTTTGGTACTATCATTAAACAGACCGTCATTCGTAGTTATTTTATAAAAAGTACATTGCACCTACTGTTATTATTTTAATTTAATGATATTTATGTGTCGCACTTGTGTCTGAATTGTCATTTAATATATATTACAAAATAAACAATTCTTTCAGTGTTATAAAATACTCTTGACCACTTGTGATTTTATGAAACTCTGTCCATTGCAGTGTAAACAGCGGAATTGAAATATTAATTCAACAAAAACCTAACAGTAAAAAAGGGCTAAGTTCCAGACCCCTTCCCAAAACAATCAGCTTAAACAAGTGGTGATATCTATATTGTGGCCAGGACTCATATTTCTTTACTTCACAATCCCACCTCACACCTACTTTCATGTGCAACACTGTTCTTTATTTGTATTGCTTAACACTTGTCCAGTTTCTGAATGAGGCATAAAACCGGCTAAGCCATAATGTAGATAACACAACTTTGATTTGCTATAATTATTTTATTCATATATACTCTTGTATAGCCGATGCTACGCCAGTTGCTCGGCCTCTGACGGTATTACCGTCGGATTATCCAAATATTTTAAATAATTACCCAAAAGTGGATCTTTTATTATTGACGTCATTTACGAATTCTGCATCATCGTATCTCTTTAAATAGCTTACTCCTTCACTTGTTGTGCAAATGAGACCAAGCAGACAAGTACCCTTAACATAACGTAGTACTCTTTTAAGTTGATTGTAATGACTGTCTGCCGATTATGACTGATATCGGCTAAAGATATTAATTGAAACTTTTATATCTGTCACATTTACTATGGTAATGACAGACGCATATGTTTCAATGTTGTCATACATATTCAATTTTGAAAATGTATAATGCAAACAATAGATTAAGTATAAAAAGTAGGTATAAGTAGGTATTGGGATTTTAAAAATACATTTTTTATAACTTCGAAGATGAAGGAACACCAGGAATCCCCAACTTTGATGAAATATGTCGTCAAAATAAGTTTGCTCCGAGGTATGCGATTTACAGATTTTTTTAGAAAAACCGTTATAGTTGATCCAAATGGTGTTTTTTGTGTGCTTATTTTACAAAATGGCAGATTCCTATACAGAACTCATATCGGCTATATTGTTGCGACAAGGACAATAGGTCTTAACCGCTATGAAAATGTAGATGTTTTGTTAGAGATGGCTTCTTGGTTCTGGTACTATCATTAAACAGACCGTCATTTGTAGCTATTTTAAAAAAAGTAAATTGCACCTAATGTTGTTATTTTAATTTAATAATATACATGTTATATGTTTAATCTATGTTCCAAATTGCAATAGCTTATCTTAAGAAGAACCAGAGTTATGTGGGTTAGAAAAACAGGGTGAATTGGTTCATGCAAAGATACAATGGCATTGCTGGAACTTGGCCGGCGCACTGCCGTGCGCTCAGATAAAAGAGGATGTCTACAAATGAAAATATAACACGTAGGTATTATATGAAAATTGTACACGAGGTTTTATTAAAAATATAATACATTATCTTGAAAGAATAATAATATCCTATTACAGTTACAAAAATATAAATACATCTGTGTATACAAAATTCTATAAAAAAATTATATCAGATTCGAGAATAATTTAAAAGCAATAAATAAAAAAAATGTAACACATATGTACAGAATCGTTTTTTTTATCATGGGCCTTACAATACCTCACTAGGTTTACTTAATAATTGAATAATTCTTTTAAAGTGTTTTCATATAATGTGACCACAATATCTTAAAGATGATAATGTTCCTACTACCTCCCATAATCATTATTTTCATATCAACTTTTAAACCTTAAATGGTAATGCATACGTTTTATTAACTTGAGAATAAATTACGAACAATTTTGACTAGTCCAAGTTGCAATCAAAAAACCTATACTCAAGACGAGTGAGGAAATAACACTTGCGGAAAATTCAGATTACAACATATGAACACTATCAGAAAAATATATAAAACTATTAATAAAACACAGTGACATTTCGAGTCATCGACAATAAAATATCACCCTGTATACGTTATTTTTTTTTTATATTAAGAAAACAATAAGTGTTACTTACGTTTTTTATAAATTATTATAGCGCTGTGCATACTATAAAGTATATTTTTATTTTACTTATTTGGTTACACGTCGACACACCTTACGACTAGTTGCAAGAAAAATCACTCTAACACTGAAAAGTAAAACAAGATATTAAAATTCATATTTTCTTACAAGGTATATTATTTGAATTGTTTTAATAATATTATTATCCGGCACTATGAAGCTTCTGTGCATTTTAATAACGCTTGCTTTTGTAAACGTTGTGCCAATTATGACAGGTAATTATTTCATTTTTCCACGTACCTTTTTACACATCTGAATAGAAATATTAATATTTAATTATTTCTCATAGCGGACTATGCAAATTCGGTTTACACTACAAGTCAGTATTTAAATATTTTCATACGGTAGAACATTTTTATAACGTTATTATGAACTCACAATCTTGTTTGTCGTTCCGGGTAGAATCTTGCAACTCAAATTTCGAGCACTTACCGATTAGCTAACCGACCGAAACTTTCAGGGTAGATCACAATTCGATGACAATGCGTTATTAATCCACAAGAGGTAGAAAATTCTACCCCTTAGGGTGTTGAAATGGGGTCGATTTCTTGTCTGTCGTTCCGGGTGGAATCTTGCAATTCAAAAAGACTTATTTCTCACCTGCCAGCAAAAATTATGCGTGGTGCGTTCGGGCGTGAACGGTGCTCAGACATGAGTGGTACCAGGTTCAAACCTGTTCTCATCATTACCCTTTTTTGCATTTTCTTACAACTTTTATTCAACTTTTATGACAATTTACAAAGTAGTTATAACTTAATTTCAACTTTTATGATAATTTCTACAGTTGTAAATCTAAAATTATAAGCTTTTAAATTGATTACTAATTCTTATGATAATCCTTCTGACCATGCAGCCTTTTCTAATGTAATCACCACTTACAGACGAAATGGACGGATTTTACTATATAATATTGTAATAATATTATTTATATGTAATATATATGTATATAAATATATGTATATTCATTATATAACATTGTACATTTAAATATATAGATACGTACATATGGAAACGAAAAAGAACAAAATAACTAAAGTGGATTAAAAAATTAATCTAAAAATAACGTTTTTATGCGCCTTAAAAAGTTTAAAATAACCCTCCAGGGGTCTTGATAAACAAATAGGACAAGTGAACTAGAAAAACGTGGTGCGCATCTTTACTACTTCACACGTCTGAATGTATAATAACATTGTCTTCTCATTAATCAACAACCTTAACTCATAATTCATGCCCAATCATCTTTTCTCTTCTAAATAAAATAATACTTAATGACATGTCATGTAAAATTGAGCACCACATTACTTTAAATGTTAAGCAAGCAGGTAGTTAACAAAAAATTGAAGCAACCTACATAAAACAAACTTTGGTGAGAATAGCAATTAAGTCTTTTCAATTTTCAATGATAATTAAGGCAAGTGGCATAAAAATCCATTAAATTTCATTTCCGATAAAAAGTCATACTATCACATTCTGATCCGTTCGATTAGAGAGACAGCATTATGAGAGACAACTTAATGCATTAGCATGAAAGCTTAGGTTTTAATATCTAAGTAGAAAGATGCGCCCCAAGTTTTTCTAGTTCACCTGTCCTATTTGGTTATCAGGACCCCCGGAGGGTTATTTTATACTTTTTAGGGCACATAAAAACGTTAGTTTTAGATTATTTTTTTAATCTACTTTAGTTATTTTTTATATTATCTAATTTATACATAAGTTTGAAATAATTTATTACAGACAAATACATCAAAGAGGTTTTTGATAGAGGTAAGATAAATTATTATTTTCAGATGATAGATAAATTAACAACAAGCTATAGTTTTTTTTATATCAGTTCAGAATATGAGTTAAAGGGGTATATACTACCAGTATACCAAATAATACTGTATAAATACTAAAATGAAAAAGAAAATCGAATAAATTATATTTAAACTTAAAAGAGTAAAATTCCTAAAATTTACATTGAACATTTTTGGGGCTTTACAAAATTACTATTTCAAATAAATGGTTGTGTAGAGTAAAGTTAAATATTTACCTTAAAGCTAAGTATATTCTTATTCTGAACATTTGTATGTATAATTCTATATATTATTTTGATTTCATTTGAAATTGTGTATATAGCTCTAACACTATTTGCTTATAGATCCTACTATATTGAAGACTGCAATTTCAAATATTATTGATGGGGATAAAACGTTCGGTAATCATTATTATGTAACAAAAAAAATTACTGAAACATAGATTGCTAACAGAAAAAAGTGATAAAATTATAGTGTTATAGAAAAATTGAACATCATAAATCATTAATTTATATTATTCCTATTTCAGAGACACTTAATGTGATGTTAGCTATACCGGGTAATACAATTTTTTATCACTTGTTGGACGTATTTCCACATAGCTGCTTGATAACAATTAATAACTTATTGGGGTATAACATATTTTCGTTTTAATTTCAGACAAAGCAAATTACTGGTTTACAATTGAACATGGTAACCATTTGTTATATACTACTAATACATTACATAGATCCTTATATAACGGTCTAAATACGGTATTTTTTTCTTTTTCCTATGGCTCACACTATCGAATGATAGTAGTCTCTCCGTAAAAGAACTTACTTAGATTTTGGATCTCTAGCTCAAATCTAAATAGTACCTCGTGTTTGATTAACTTGAAAAATAATAAGTTTTCATTGAAAAAATTCTGTTTTGAAAAATATGTAGTTCATTTTTCTGACAATATCCATCGTTGTCTATAAAGAAACTAGTCTCGAGATTTGTTGAACAGCCCCTATTTGAGGTCTGTTATAAGTGTCTATTATTATGTCTTCAAGTTTACTTATTTTTGTAAATTTACGAATTAAAAATATTTTTAAAAAAAAAATCTCGAACACAATTCCACTAAGTTTATTATCCACATAGCTTGATTACATGAATTTGTTTTAATTTCAGATGACTCATTTATTAACAACTTACCAGGTAACCTATTTGTATATATTACACGTTATTTGTTTAAGTACATTGTGATTTTTTTTTAATTTGAGTAACACGGGAACTTTATTTTTACTAATCTAATATATTATAATTTCTGTCATAAGAAAATATCTTATATAGTAATTGTTTGTATATTTTCAGAACATATTGCCATAGCTGATCAGGAGGCAGTGCAACAAGCAATATCCCAAGTTACAGGTAAGTATAAAGTTTAACATATTTTTTTTTACCAAAATAGAAAAATATATATTTTAGTAGTTTAAACTCTTAAATCTTACTATGATATTTTATACAAGTCTTGATTTTCCTTTAAAATATTCTTCAAACCAATGTATACATTTTTTCACTGAATTAATGTGTGCCTTTTAGAAGAAACTAATTGATTTTTTTTTTTTATACAGATATCCCTGTGCCTCAACTTGGCCCGAACGAAAGTAAGCATTAAGCATGCCTTTATGAACTGACGTAAAAGCCAATATACCAATTTTTTTATTTTTAAACACTTTAACTTATTATTTTTCGCAGATTTTGAGAATGATTCATTAGCACAGCTTGGAGAAGCCAGAAGACGTATAACAGGAGAAGTTACAAAAAATGTACTTATCGAAGCAATAAGTAATTATTATTTTATGTAGATTTTTACTAGTTTTACTTTTAATTATACTTGTTTTACTTGATGTACCAATCTTACATTTTATTATATACACACCTCAATTAGTAAAACTTTTAGCCACATAGATTCTTGAATAGCCCAAGCTAACACCAGCTGATATTCGGTCACCGTTTAAGAAGGGATTACCGTCGCTTGCTTTCTTATAGACCAGCACAGTGTCGATCCAAATCTTTTAAAACAATACCCAAAATTAAACTTTTTATCACACACTTTGTGTTCCATTCTTGCAACAAGCCGTTATCAATTTTTGTATCGTTAAAACTATTGGTATTAATACAAAATGGATTTGAGAAATATAAAACACATATTTTTTATTTTATTTTGCACACAGCTACTATACGTCCATCAGGTTGGAAAATTTTACAATTATATTTTTAAATACAAATTTTAACTTCAACTGTCCGTTTTATTTTTATTTGATGATTGGGCGCATCTCATTTCAGGACTATATTTTTAATTATATAATAATAAATAATTGCATAGAAACTCTTCATTATCAACTTTATCGCAATACAACTTCCTCCGTTTTGGTAACACCAATATTGAGTGGAGTTTTTAGTTGCTTTATGGAGTAGAAGTAGCTTTCTCTTATCTGAACAACCTGAATCAATGAACCAAAATATCACACTTGGATTGTTAGTACGCTTTAGTTTTTCTCTAAACGAGAAGCAAACCCATTTTCCAAATTTGCTTTTCTATTCAAGTATATTTTTGTTTTCCGAAATTCTTCATAAATTTACGTTCATATCAAATATGACCTTTATTTCATACATAAGATTTAAAAAAAAAAATACTGTCGGTTGTAGTTCCTAAATCTGTAACACTTTAGGGTTTTTCTCACCTATTTCACCAACAGTCGACTTTTTTCAAATTCAATTGTTATTTAATCAATTAAAAGTGTTTCTATATCCGTTACAATATTGTTATATGTGCCCGACATTATTAACGAAAAATTAAATAAAATACCTTCTTTCTTTTATTTCAACTACAAATAAAGTTTATTTATAAGTAGTCATAGGATTCTCACAACACCCTATGTTGATTTTTATAGACACTTGTTCTATCTGTCAATCTGCTCTTTGCAAATATTACACCTATTAAGCTTATTGTTCTAAATTTGATTAGATTGTATAAATATAAATTAAAAAAATCCATAACAATAAGTCAAAAAGTTCTGAAACAAATTGCGGTTATTCTTTCTTAAACGTATTTTAATAAATTTCATTCGAAATAGGTAAAATAAAATAGGGTGTTTTTTTATGGGTAATGTTTTTATTTTTCTATGATTTCGGTTATATACGTGTATAGCTGTGTTTATAACAAAAAAACAAAAGTAGATACAAGATAAAATTGACAAGTTTTTAAAAATTAATTTTTTACAATTTTTAAGATGAAGGAACACCAGAATTTCCCAACCTTGACGAAATATGCATTCTAATAGGTTTGCTTCGAAGTATGGAACGCCCAGATACGTACATAAAAACCGCTAGTGTTGATCCAGCCGGCTACGAATGTATATTAACTTCACAAAATGGCAATACATTCCAATACAGAGCTCATCACGGCTATATTGCTGCTGTAAGACCAGTAGGTGGTAATCGTGTTGGATATGTGGATGTTTTGAGTGAGCTACTCAGCCCTTGGTTTTATTTCTATAGTTATCGTTCAACAAACCAACATTCGTAGCTATTTTATAAAAAGTATATAGCACCTACTGTTATTATTTTAATTTAATAATATTTACGTGTCGCACTTGTGTCTGAATTGTCATTTAATATATATTACAAAATAAACAATTCTTTCAGTGATATAAAATACTCTTAACCACTTGTGATTTTATGAAACTCTGTCCATTGCAGTGTAAACAACGGAATTGAAATATTAATTCAACAAAAACCTACCTATTGTTGCTGTAAGACCAGTAGGTGGTAATCATGTTGAATATGTGAATGTTTTGTAAGATATAGATAACTGGTTCTGGTACTATCAATTAACAGACCATCATTTGTAGCTATTTTTAAAAAAGTTAATTGCACCTTATGTTTTATTTAAATTTAATAATTTACATATTATGACGTACTTGAATCTAAACTGTCATTTAATTCAATGTATTACAAAATAAACAATTCTATCAGTAATGTTTGATACTTTCAATGGCTTTTGATTTTATTAATTTTCGTCCATTGCAGTGTAAAAAACAGGTATTATAGGTTTTAAATTTTCATTGGCTCAAATAGTAGGGTTTAGTATTTTTCCATATATGTCCAAGGGGTCAAAAAGGAGAAATAGTTATATTTTTCAGATTTCTTAGTGATTTCTAGATGTTTTCTGGGCTGAGACACTTGAAGTCATAAAGTCTTTGAGTTGTATTATTCTTTCTATTGAGTATACTTATTTAAAAAAATGTATTTCAGGGATTATAGGGAGCTGGATCCGACTAACAAATCCGGCCTTGAGTCAACAGAATATAATATAATGAATAGAATATATGTATATTTTTAATAAATAATCTTTTATATTTTTTTTATATCACTTTTATTGAATCTTATTTATACTTTTGACTCGGAGGATTTAACTTCGACTATTATATATCGTGTAAATGAACGCAGTTACTACATTTTTAAGTATTTATAACAATTAAGCAATTAAGCAAAGTATATAGCAATTGGATGTTTGCCACTCTAATTAAATCTTAATTATATACCTATACACATCGGATACAGAATTGGGTCTATAAAAAAATTTAACAAATCTGATAAAAGTGATAAAGCTAAACAATTGATAAAATTAAATATAATAATAACGAAATATAATTAAGTATTTTTTCAATTTTTCATAGACTTTACTCTATAGTATAAGGACATAACTGTCATATAGGATTGTCCTACAAAAAGTTTAAAGCTTTGTTGAACGTAGGACAAATCATACAAATGTAGGACTGTCCTGCTCAAAGAAGGACGGTTGGCAACCCTATTAAATAGTCGATACGACAGTTGTTTTAAAAGTCTTAAATAGATCTGTGCAAATGACTATGTAACACGTATGCATATTATGAATAATGTTATATATTTTCCTTTAGAAATAATCAAATAATATAGCATTTAAACGTAGCACATAACTGATAAGACATCTGCGTTTGCAAATGGTATATCTGGTTAGAGAATATTATCAGCTTATGATTAAATACTAATATAATCCACGATTTTCTAAGCTATTGTAACAAGCGCTCACACAAACTCAAAGAAAAGTTTCTACCTATACGGTAAGTGTCTTATAATTTTGATGATGAGTGAGTGAGTCAGTAACAAAAATGCTAAATTTGAAATCCTCCCATTTTGAAAGGGCTGACTATTAAGGGCTCATATTTTTACCGTGCCCTAAGCTACATGAGTTTAATCTATGTTCCAAATTTCAATAGCCTATTATAAGAAGAACCAGAGTTATGTGGGTTAGAAAAACTGGGTGAATTGGTTTGTGCAAAGATACAATGGAATTGCTTGGCCGTGCGCTCAGATAAAAGAAAACGTGTACAAATGAAAATGTAACACGTAGGTATTATTTGAAAATTGCACACGATATTTTACTAAAAATATATTAAATTTTCTTGAAAGAATAATAATATCCTATTACAGTTACAAAAATATGATTACATCTGTGTATACAATATTCTATAATAAAATTATATCAGCTTCGAGAATAATTTAAAAGCAATAAGTAAAAAAAATGAACATGTTATGTACAGAGTCATTTTTTTATCATTGCCCACTCAATATCTCATTAGGCTTAATTAATAATTGAATTCATTTTTCATAGTGTTTTCAAATAATGTGACCACAATTTCCTTATAATGATAATGTTCCTAACTCCTTCCAAACTGATTATTTTCATAAAAACTTTTAAAACTTAAATGGTAACGCATAAATTTTATTCACTTTTATAATTGAGAATAAAATACTAACAATTTTTACTGGTCCAAGTTGCTATCAAAAAACCTAATTTCAAGGAGAGTGAGAAAATAATACTCGTGGAAAATTCAGATTACATTATATAAATGCACAATGAAAAAAATTAAATAAAATTATTAATTAAACACAGTAAAATGTAGAGTTACCCACCATAAAAAATCACCCTGTAAACGTTATTTTTTTTAATTAAGAAAACAATAAGTTTTTTATAAATTATAGTAGCGCTGTGCATACTATAAAATATATTTTAACACTTGCGGAAAATTCAGATTACAATGTATGAATACACTATCAAAAAAATATGTAAAATTATTGATAAAACACAGTGACATTTAGAGTCACCAGCGATAAAATATCACCCTGTATAAGTTATTTATTTTATAACAAAAACCACAAGTGTTGCTATTTTTTTTCTAAATTATTATAGTGCTCTGCATCTGAAAAATATATTTTAATTTTACTTCTTTGGTTTATACGTCGACAGAAAAATCACACAAAAAGTAAAACAAGATATTAGAATTCCTATTTTTTTATAAGTTTTATTATTTGAATTGTTTCATTAATACTGTCACATCTCAGCATGGATAATTTTAAGTCAAAATATATATACCGTTACTTTATATGTTCTGAAATAATTTAACCCTTGACATTTGTTTTCTAATAGACCGTTTTATAACTAAAAAAACAGGTATAATCATCATCAAAATAGTATGAGACAGTGAGATATTCATAAGAGCTTCAGTTTCAGGGCATAAAAGCTATAGTTTTTCTCCAAATAAGAAGCAATCCCATTTTCCAAATTTTTTTTGCTATTTAAGTATATTTTTCACTTCCGAAATTCTTCATAAATTTACCTACTTATAATATATGAAAACGACTGTCGGTTTTAGTTCCAAAAGCTGTAACCTTTTGTTGGGTTTTTCTCATCTATTTGATCCCTGTGTTTTGTTTTCTTCGCTTCTTCGTCCAAGAGTCGACTTTTTACAAATTCAATTGTTAATTTATCAATTGAAAGTGAAATACAATATCTACTTTTTCTATTTTTCAACCATCTTATTATTTTATGAAATCTAATAAAATAACCTTCAAGGTCCATATAATTTTAATGTAATAGGTCGCGTTCTTAAATATAGTTGTATACTTTACGCTCCAAAGGATAGCACACAAATGTAGTTTTTTTATGAAAATACAAATAGTCATAGAACTTTCACAACACCCTATGTTGATTTTTCTAGACACTTGTTCTATCTGTCAATCTACTCTTTGCAAATATTACAACTATTAAGCTCATTGTTCTAAATTTTATGAGATTGTATAAGTACAAATTAAAGAATAAAAAAAAATCCATAACAATATCTTCAAAAAAAGATCTGAAGCATACTGCGTTTATTCTTTCTTAAACGTATTTTAATAAATTCCATTCCAAAATAGATGAAATAAAATAGGGTGTTTTTATATGGGTAATATTTTATTTTTTTATGATTTCGGTTATGCATGTGTATTAGTTGTGTTATTACAAAAAACAAAACTAGATTTAAGCTTAAATTGACAAGTTTTTAAAATTAAATTTTTTATCATTTTTAAGATGAAGGTTTACCAAAATTCCCCAACCTTACCGAAATATGCCGTTCAATAGGGTTGCTTCGAAGTATGGAACACCCAAATTCATACACAAAAACAGTATTCAAATAATGTTATCAAATTTTAAGATATAATTAAGACATTTACTATTCAGAATAATTGTGTGACCAAAAACAAACAACATTATTATATTTTATTTTTTTGCTTTTGTGGTAAAACTTTTTTTCAATACATCTTTTTTTATCACGTGGATGAAATAACTAAATGTTGTGGAATTCCAGTGGTTTCTAATTGTAATGGGTACACATAGACGATACGGTAGCTGTTATTAAAGTTTTAAAAAAATGTGTACAAAAGACTATGTAACACGTATGCATTTACTTGTACACAGTATTTTATGAAAAATGTTATATATTTTCCTTTACGAATAATCAAACATTATACCATTTGAAAAGTAGCACATAACCAATAAGACATCTGTGTTTGCCAATCCTACAGAGGTGCAACTGATTAGAGAATATTGTCAGCTTATGATTGAATATTAATATAATCCACGATTTTCTAAGCTGTTGTAACAAGCGCTTACACAGTCCAGAATAAAAGGCAAATTCGAATAATGTTATGTTGAAAATGACTTTGAAAAGCAGTAACTTAAAAGTGTAATAGCTTTTTCTAGACTATATTTTATTTTATAATAAAATATATATCACATTTGTTGCTTAAGTTTTTTCTAGATTCCTTAAGTGTAACACATATAGTTATTGTTTACAACTTATACTAAACAACATTTATTTATATCTTAAAAAAAATTAATGAATAATTTCAAAAATTATGAAAAAAAATATATAAATTCTTATATAACATAAAATAGCAAGGTATTATATCGATTTAATTATATATTCAATCAAACTATTGATAATGTATACAAACAAACATTAGATTTATCTAACCCATCAAAACCTAACCCGACCACCATAACCAATAACTGAAAAGAAAATATATTAAATTTAGCTCTGAAGTTTAACTGCTTTGGTTGACGCAATAAAATCCTTAACAAAAATTGAAACAAACTATTAGACAACATGCTATCTTTCTAAAAAGTCTCATTTTTTGAAATATTTAATTAATAATATCCAATATTATGAAACGTATAAAAATCATAGTACGGTGTTAGTACAAACAATGTAACTTAAACAAAGATTTTAATGTTATATTACAGAAGTTTTAACAAAAAGAAGAGAATATGCACGGAAATAAAAATGGTTATGTTTTTGCTGTACATAATAGTTTTGACTTGTCATAAAAAATAATAACAATTATTTGTAGTTATTATTTGTGTATGTGGAATAGTACTAAAATAATGCTATCAATTTTGAAAATAAATTTAGGTAATGTATTACACAGAATGGTAGTGTGACCAAAAACAAATAACATAAAGCTTCCAAGTCTTTAATGTAAAACAGTGCTATAGTACAATGTTTGCAAGGGTAAATTATTTTTTTGGATATGGACAACCTCTGGCTCATTATTATTATTTATGAAAATTGTATTCACTTCCACGCCATCAAATAACAAGTTGAATTTATGCACGGAGATCTAAGTTACTATGTATTTCATTATTACAATTGGTTTGACTTATCATTGATAACAATTATTAGTTGTCATTATTTTTGTGTAAGTGAATTAGTATTAAAATAGTGTTAAACGTTTTAACATTTTCAAATTTATACAAGGAAGGTACTATATAGAATAGCAGTTTTGGCCAAAAGCAAACAACAATATATTTATTTAAAAAAGCTTTGTTTTCGACACGTTGTGAAAATACTACCATAATCTTGTGTCGTCTCAGACGTTCACATAAGTACACATAGTCGATACGATATTTGTTAAATGTGATAAAATAGAACGTGTACAAATGAAAATGTAACACGTAGGTATTATCTAAAAACTGTACACGGGATTCTATTAAAAATGTCATATATATTATTGAAAAAACAATTATATGGTGTGAATAAAAAAAAAAATATGAACACATCTGTGTACACAAACTTGTATTAAAGTAAGTATGATTCGAGAATAATTTAAAAGCAATAAATAAAAAAATTTAACACATATGTACAGGGTCATTTTTTATGATGGGCCATACAAAATCTCACTGGGTTTACTTAATAATTGAATTATTCTTTTAAAGTGTTTTCATATAATGTGACCACAATATCTTTACGATGATAATGTTCCTACCACCTCCCAAACTCATTATTTTCATATCAACTTTTTAACCTTAAATGGTAATGCAGACATTTTATTACCTTTTAAAATTAACTCAATTTTATTAAATAACTTATTCATACAACTTCCTTATAATGATAATGTTCCTAACTCCTTCCAAACTGATTATTTTCATAAAAACTTTTTAACCTTAAATGATAATGCATACATATGATTAACTTTTAAAATTGAGAATAAATTACTAACAACTGTGACTATAGTCCATGTTGCTATCAAAAAACCTAATTTCAAGGAAAGTGAGATAATAACACTTGTGGAAAATTCAGATTACATTATATGAATACACTATTAAAAAAAAATATTAAACTATTGATTAAACACAGTGACATGTGGAATTATCCACAATATAAAATCACCCTATATACGTTATTTCTTTTTTACGTTTTATTAAGAAAACAATAAATGTCAATTACGATTTTTATAAATTATTATAGCGCTGTGCATACTATAAAATATATTTTTATTTCACTCATTTGGTTTACACGTCGACACACCGACCTTACGACTAGTTGCAAGAAAAATCACTCTAACATTGAAAAGTAAAACAAGTTTTTAGAATTCATATTTTCTTATAAGTAATATTATTTGAATTGTTTCAATAATATTATCCGGCACTATGAAGCTTCTCTGCATTTTAATAACGCTAGCATTTGTAAACGTTGCGCCAATTATGACAGGTAATTATTTAATTTTTCCACATACCTTTTTAAGGTAGTTAAAAAACTAAATAGAAAATTCAATATTTAATTATTTCTCATAGCGGACTATGCAAATTCGATTCACACTACAAGTCAGTATTAAATTTTCATACGGTAGAACATTTTTTTTATTTTATCATATTTATACATAAGTTTGAAATAATTCATTACAGACAAATACATCAAAGAGGTTTTTGATAGAGGTAAGATATATTATTATTTTCAGATGATATATAAATTAACAACAAGCTATAGTTTTTTTTATATCAGTTCAGAATATGAGTTAAAGGGGTATATACTACCAGTATACCAAATAATACTGTATAAATACTAAAATGAAAAAGAAAATCGAACCAATTATATTTATACTTAAAAGAGTAAAATTCCTAAAATTTACATTGAACATTTTTGGGGCTTTACAAAATTACTATTTCAAATAAACGGTTGAGTAGAGGAAAGTTAAATAGTTACCTTAAAGCTAAGTATATTCTTATTCTGAATGTTTGTATGTATAATTCTATATATTATTTTGATTTCATTTGAAATTGTGTATATAGCTCTAACACTATTTGCTTATAGATCCTGCTATATTGAAGACTGCAATTTCAAATATTATTGATGGAGATAAAACGTTCGGTAATCATTATTATGTAACAAAAAAAAAAAAAAATTAAAACATAGATTGCTACTAGAAAAATGTGATAAAATGATAGTGTTTTAGAAAAATTGAACATCATTAACTCATCAATTTATATTATTCCTATTTCAGAGACACTTAATGTGATGTTAGCTATACCAGGTAATAATTTTTTTTATCACTTATTGGACGTATTTCTACATATCTGTTTAATAATAATTAATAACTTATTTGGGCATAACATATTTTCGTTTTAATTTCAGACAAAGCAAATTACTGGTTTTCAATTGAACATGGTAACCAATTGTTATTTACTACTAATACTTTACATAGATTCTTATGTAACGATATAATTACGGCTTTTTTTGTTTTTCTTATGGCTCACACAATCTAAAGATAGTAATTTCTCCGAAACTTACTTAGATTTTAGACCTCTAGCTCTTCAAATTTACTTATTGTTGTGAATTTACGAATTAAAAATATATACAAAAAAATGTTTGACATCTTTTCATATAATTAATTATCCCCATAGTTTGGTAACATATATTTTTTTTAATTTCAGATGACTCATTTTTGAGCAACTTACCAGGTAATTTAGCTGCATGTATTATACGTTATTTGTTTAAGTACATTGTGATTTTTTTTTTATTTCATTAACACGGGAACTTTGTTTTTACTAATCTAATATATTATAATTTTTGTCATAAGAAAATATCCTAAATAGTAATTTTTTGTATTTCAGAACATATTGCCATAGCCGATCAGGAGGCAGTGCAACAAGCAATATCCCAAGTTACAGGTAAATATAAAGTAAAGCATATTTTTTTTTTTACCAAATTCAAAAAATGTATATTTTAATAGTATAAATTCTTAGAACTATGCTATGATATTTTATACAAGTCTTGATAATCTTTTGAAATAATTATCAAACCAATGTATACATTTTTTTATAGAATTAATGTGTGCCTTTTAGAAGAAACTAATTGAATTTTTTTTTTTTTATACAGATATCCCTGTGCCTCAACTTGGTCCGAACGAAAGTAAGCAATAAGCATGCATTTATGAATTGGCGTATTAGGCAATAAACCAATTTTTTTTTAATATTCTTTTTAAACACTGTAACTTATTAATTTTCGCAGATTTTGAGAATGATTCATTAGCACAGCTTGGAGTAGCCAGAAGACGTATAACTGGAGTAATTACAAAAAATTTACTGATCGAAGCAATAGGTAAATATTGTTTTTATGTAGATTTGTACTAATTTTACTTTTAATTATACTTGTTCTACTTGATGTACCAATCTTTTATTTTAATATATACACACCTCAACAAGTAAAGTTTTTAGTCACATAGATTTTTAAATAGCCCAAGCTAACACCAGCTGATATTCGGTCACTGTTTAAGAAAGGATTACCGTCGTTTGCTTTCTTGTAGACCAGCATAGTGTCGATCCAAATCTTTTAAAATAATACCCAAAAGTAGACTTTTTATCACACACTTTGTGGTCCATTCTTTAATGCAACAAGCCGATATAAATTTTTGTATCGTTAAAACTATTGGTATAAATAAAATAAGGATTTGAGAAGTATAAAAAACATGTTTTTTTTTTATGTTGCACTCAGCTACTGCATACATCCATCAGGTTGGATAAATTTTACAATTCTTTTTTAATACAATTTTAAAATTCAACTGTTCTTTTTATTTTTTATTTGATAATTAGGCGCATCTCATTTTAGTACCATATTTTTTATTATATAATAATATATTAGCTCCAAAAGATAGCACACAAATGTAGTTTTTTTTATGAAAATACAAAGAGTCATAGAACTTTCACAACACCCTATGTTGATTTTCCTAGACACTTGTTCTATCTGTCAATCTGCTCTTTGCAAATATTACATCTATTAAGGTTATTGTTCTAAATTTTATTAGATTGTATAAATAAAATTTAAAGGTCCATATCAATATCTCAAAAAAAAAGTTCTGGAGCAAACTGCGGTAATTTTTTTTTAAACGTATTTTAATAAATTTCATAAGAAATAGGTAAAATAAAATAGGATGTTTTTTATAGGTAATGTTTTTTTACTTCTATAATTTCGGTTATACACGTGTATAGTTGTGTTTTTAACAAAAAACAAAAGTAGATATAAGCTAAAATTGACAAGTTTTTAAAAATTAATTTTTTTACAATTTTTAAGATGATGGAACACCAGGATTCTTCAACCTTGACGAAATATGCATTCTAATAGGTTTGCTTCGAAGTATGCAACACCCAGACAACCACATAAGAACCACTAGTGTTGATCCAGACGGCTCTGAATGTACGTTAACTTCACGTAATGGCAATATATTCCGATACAAACCTCATCTCGGCTATATTGTTGCTGTAAGGCCAGTACGTCGTAATCGTGTTGATTATGTGGAAGTTTTGAGAGAGATGGATACTTGGTTCAGGTACTATTATTAAACAGACCATCATTCGTAGATAATTTTAAAAAAAATTACATTGCACCTACTGTTATTGTTTTAATTTAATGATATTTATGTGTCGCACTTGTATCTAAATTGTCATTTAATTCAATGTATTACAAAATAAACAAGTTTCTTTCAGTGATATAAAATACTCTTAATTACTTGTGATTTTATGAAACTCTGTCATTGCAGTGTAAACAACTGAATTGAAAAAATAATTCAACCAAAACCTTACAGTAAAAAAAGGCCAAGTTCCAGGCCCCCTCCCAAAAAATTCAGCCTATTAAAGCGGTGACGTCTATAATGTGGCCTAGACTCCTATTTCTTTATTTCACAACCTTACCTCACTCCTACTTTCATGAGCAACATTGTTCTTTATTTTTATTGATTAACACTTCGCCAGTTTCTGAATAAAACATGACCTTTCTGCTTTAGAAATTCTGTATGAGACATAAGACAGACATGGCCACAACCTAGAATCACTACTTTAGGCCGTATTTTTTGGGAGGGCGTCTAGAACTTGGAAGATAAAATACCATATAAAAATAAGAGACATGCTGGTAAAAAATATTGTGTGATCCTAGGGGTTAAAAATTGGTATGGGTACGCATAATCGATAAGATAGTTATTAAAGTTAAAAAAGATGAAGTGTACAAATAAATATGTAACACATAAGCATTGCCTGTACAGGGCCATTCTTTTAACGCCCTACATTACTTTACTCAAAAACTACTTAGATTTTTACAAAAAAAAAATGCTTAATACTTTGTTTGTGTATAAAATATTAACTCTTTTTAAAACACTTTTTTTATCTCCACTCCCCCCCTCCTTCAAAAACTCGACTACAACTTTACGATAATTATTTTATTCTTTATTCTTCACAATAAATTGGAAATTTTGCACGGAGATAAAAGTTACTATGTATTTAATAAATATATTAATTGGTTTGACTAACCATAGATAATAATTATTAGTAGTTATTATTTGTGTATGTGAATTAGTATTAAAATAGTGTTAAACGTTTTAAAATTCAAAATTTATACAAGAAATGTGGTATTCAGAATAGCAGTTTTGACACAAAATAAACAACAATATATTGAATTAAAAACGCTTTAGTTTTAAGATTATATAATCTTGTGTTATCCCAGACGATTTTAACTTACATATATACATATAGTCGATACGATATTTGTAAAATGTGTAAAAAGAGAACGTGTACAAAAGAAAATGTAGTACGTAGACATTGTCTAATTATTGTACATATATATATATATAGAGAGTATATATATATATGATTCGAGAATAATTTAAAAGAAATACGTAAAAAAACAGATATGTAAATTAAATATAATAATATAAAAAACAATTTTGACTGGTTTAAGTTGCTATCACAAAACCTAATTTGAAAAAGAGTGAAAAAATAACACTTGTGGAAAATTCAGATTACATTATACGAAAACGCTATGAAAAACAAAAATATAAAATTATTGATTAAAACCAGTGAGATGTAGAGTTGCCAACGATAAAAAAATCACCCTGTATATGATATTTTTTTTGTATTAAAAAACCACAAGTGTCACTTTTTAAATTTTAGAAATTATTATAACGCTGCGCATACTGTAAAATATATTTAGTTTTACTTCTTTGGTTGACAAGTCAACACACCGACCTTCCGACTAGTTGCAAAAAAATCACTGTATCACAAAAAGTAAAACCAACTTTTAGAATAAAATTCATATTTTTCTTATAAGTTATATTATTTGAATTATTATTTCAATCATATTGTCCAGCACTATGAAGCTCCACTGCATTTTAATAACGCTTGCCATTGTCAACGTTTCGCAAATTATGACAGGTAATTATTTAATTTTTATACGTAATTTTTCAAGTTAGATAAAAATCTAATTAGAAAATTCAGTATTTATTTATTTCTTATAGCGGGCTATAAAAATTCGGTTTACATTACAAGTCAGTATCAAATTTTCATACGGTACAACATTTTTTTTAATTTCATCATATTTATACATAAGTTTGGAATAATTTATTACAGACAAATATATCAAAGAGGTTTTTGATACAGGTAAGATATATTATTATTTTCAGATGATATATAAATTAACAACAAGCTATAGTTTTTTTTATATCAGTTCAGAATATGAGTTAAAGGGGTATATACTACCAGTATACCAAATAATACTGTTATATTAAATTAAAAACAATCTACTGTTTAAATGTATAAATGCAAGCTTCAAGGTATTAATTTTAATTTGAACAATTATTTTCTATGAGTATTAGCCATTTTAGTTTTATTTTAGATCATAAAATCTGACAAGATTTCGACAACATAGATTCGGGGTTTTTGGCTATATTAGTATGTTATGTGAGAAGCCGATTTTCATTAAAAAATGTCTGTTTCATGTCATTAAATAAATGAAATTTGCAAGTTTTTTTTTTATTAAAACCCATTTTTTTTACATAGGTAAAAAGGCAAATAATCAAAAAACTGTATCCTACATAACCTAACCTAGTACTGTTGCCAAAAAACTCGAATGTGACTACAGAATTGAAATTAGACTATCCTAAGTAGTGGAAATTTGGTGTGGCTCTTTGGTCTAAATTGTCAAAGAGATGGACTACATACAATCCCCTTTATACGTAGCGTCAAGTTAAATAATAACCTTGAAGTTATGTATGTTTTGAAGATCTTTATGTATAATTTTATGCGTTATTATGATTTCATTGGAAATACAAAATTACTAATTCAAATAAATGATTGAGTAGAGTAAAATTAAATATTTACCTTCAAGCTCAGTATATTCTTATGCTGAAGATTTTTATGTATAATTTTATGCGTTATTATGATTTCATTGGAAATAGTGTATATAGTTCACCATTTGATTATAGATCCTGGTGGATTGGCCACTGCAATTTCAAATATTATTAACGATAATAATAAAACGATTGGTAATCATTATTATTTAACAAAAAAAAAAAAATTAAAATACAAATTGCTGCCAGAAAAAAAAGTGTTAAAATTATATTGTTATAAAAAAATCGAACATCATTAATTCACCAATTTGTATAATTCCAATTTCAGCGACACTTAACTCGATGCTGGCTATACCGGGTAATAATATTTCTTATCACTTATTAGACGTATTTCGAAATAGTTGATTGATAATAATTAACAACTTATTTGGGCATATCATATTTTCGTTTTAATTTCAGAAAAAGCAAATTTCTGGATTACAATTGAACATGGTAACCAATTGTTAGCTACTACTAATACTTTACACAGATTATGGTATGCCGATATAATATATTTTTTTGATCTTTTCATGTCTTAGCTTTGGCATATAACCGAAAAAATTGTCACGAAAAAAATGTTAATAACAAAAAAAGCGTTATAAAAAATATCACGCTGTTTCCGATAAGAGATAACAGATAATCGATTAGAGATAAGAGGTGAGAGATTAGAGATAAAAAAAATGATAGGAATGAGATGGTGATGAAGATGGGAATGGAGATGTTAATTTTTTTAAATTATGTGTTGTTTTCACAATGAAAAAACTTGAATGTATGATTTAATTGATTCAAAATTACAAAATTATTTTAAAAAATGTCATTCTCAAAAAAAAATGTTGTTTTAATTTCAGATAAACCATTTATTAATAATTTACCAGGTAACCTATTTGTATATAGTTTATACTCCTACTATTAACATTTTATTCAGTTTCTTATACAAGTACATTTACTACGGTTTATTTTTAAATACCTCGAGATTTTTTTTTTTTTTAACATGGGAACTTTCAATTTTTCCAAACCTAAAATATTAACACTTCTGTCATAAAAAAAATATTATGTAGTATTTTCTATATGTTTTCAGAACATATTGCCATAGCTGATCAGGAGGCAGTGCGAGAAGCAATATCCCAAGTTACAGGTAAATATAAATTTAAACATATTTTTTTTTTACCAAACTCGAAAGATATATATATTTTAATAGTTTAAATTCTTAGAGCTATGCTATGATATTTTATACAAGTCTTGATAATCTTTTGAAATATTTATCAAAACAAAGTAAATATAATGTTTTTTGGAACAATTTTACAAACTATATTATGTTTTTTTTATACAAGTCTATCAAATGTGTTGAAACATAACTCAAACCAATGTATACATTTTTACATTGATTAGGTAAATGTGTGTTTTTACTGGAAAATAATTAATTTTTTTATACAGATATCTCTGTGCCTCAACTGGGCCCGAACGAAAGTAAGCAAGCATTTAAAAATTGACTTTAATAACTCTAAAGTCTTAGTTTAAAAGCCAATAATATAATTTTTTTTAAATTTTATTTTAAAACACTGTCACAATTTTTTTTTTTAACACTTACTTATTCTTTATTTGCAGATTTTGAGAATGATTCATTGGCACAGCTTGGAGAAGCCAGAAGACGTATAACTGGATATGTTACAAAAAATTTACTTATCGCTGCAATAGGTAAGTGTTAATATTTTGTGTATATTGGTACTAGTTTCCTTTTAATTAAAATTGTACTACTTGATATACCAGTTAAATAACTCATTTTTAGTTTATATATACAACAGATAATCAACAGGTAATCCTTTTAGTCAGTTGATATTCAGTCTCTATTTAAGAAAATATCATTTCCGTTTGCTTTCTTGTAGACCAGCATAATCAATCCAAATCATTTAAATTTCTGTATCAACATATCACTTTAAAATGTTTACTCCTTCGATATAAGATACAAATTGAAATGCTTATATCTGATCTAATTTGGATTATTACATACATAATTTTGTTACCCTAATCTGCTAGATATAAAAAAAAAAAATTGAAATATGCCCTAATTTAAATTTGTCAAAGATTCTCCAGTGGGAGGTATCTGTTTTCTGGCAATCTGCTCTTTATAAATACCACATGTGTTATGTTTATTGATCTATATAGTTTTAGTTGTACAAATAAAAATTAAAGAAAGAAAGAAAAATACATAACATCTTAATAAAAAAAGTTCTGAAGCAAACGGCTGTTATTCTTTCTCAAATGTATTTTAGTAAATTTCGTTTTAATACAGGTTACTTAAAATAGGGTGTTTTTTATAGGTAACGAAATTATTTTCTATGATTTTGCTTTTACACGTGTATAAGCTGTGTTTTGAACAAAAAATAAAAGTAGATATAAGGTAAAATTGACAAGTTATGAATAACAATTTTTTTATAATTTTTAAGATGATGGAACACCAGGAATTCCCTACCTTACCAAAGTTTGCCGTTTACTAGGTTTGCTCCGAAGTATGCGATTCCCAGATTCATATATAAAATCCGTTAATGTTGAACTTGGTGTTCATTGCATTTTAACTTCACAAAATGGCAGTTTCCTATACAGAAAGCTTGTGGGCTTTATTGTTGAGGTAAGGCCAATAGGTCCTAACCGTACTGAATTAGTGGATGTTTTGAGTGAGATAGATCCTTGGTTCCCGTACATACATTAAACGGACCATTATTTGTAGCTATTTTTTTTTTTTTTTTAATTACATTGCACCTACTGTTGTTATTTTAATTTAATAATATTTAAATGTCGCACTTGTCAACTTAATTGTCATTTAACTCAATGTATTACAAAATAAACAATTTCTTTCAGTGATATAAAATACTCTTAACCACTTGTGATTTTATTAAACTCTGCCAATTGCAGTGTAAAAACGGAATTGAAATTTTAATCCAAATAAAACCTAACAGTGAAAAGGAGCCAGACCCCCTCCCAAAAACATAACGTTGTGCTCTTTTAAGTTAACTGTCTGTTGACTGTCTGCTGATTATGACTGATATCGGCTAAAGATATTAACTGAAATTCTTACATCTGTCAAATTCACTATGGTGAAAACAGACGCATAAGTGTCAATATATTCAAAGTCCTTACTATGATGATACCACTGCAAAAAACAGTATAGAATTTATACACAACATTTATCTCAACATGTAATGTTTTCAGGTTCTTCATACATTTCAATGTTTTTTTCATCATTAGGTTATCTATCGACATTTTCTTCTGTTGTTTTAATACATTCTAAACTTTCCAGTAGTAAAAATAATGATTTTATCTCCATAAACGGTTAAAGTTGATTACAAAAATCCAATTTTCCCGATTTTTGGCCACACCATAGTTGAGTAAGGATTTTTGTTGCTCTATGGAGAAGAATTGTTTTCTTTTATCTGAACAACCTGAATCAATGAACCAAATTATCTTGCTTAAATTGTCAGTAAACTTCGGTTTTTCTCCATATGGGAAGCAATCCCATTTCCCAAACTTTCAAGTATATTTTTATTTATGTGCCAGGCATTGTAAACAAAAGAAGAAATACAATATTTTTTTTTTCTATTCCACTCTATCTTGTTATTTCATAGAATCTAATAAAATGACCTTCGAAATTTTTTCAAATTTATACAATAAAAATACTATACAGAATAGCAGTTTTGACAAAAAACTAACAACAGTGTATTATATTAAAAACTCTTTTTTTCGACACGTTGGTAAAATACTACCATTTATCCCAGAAGTATTTAATTTATCATAGGTACACATAGTCGATACGATATATGTTTAATGTGATAAAAGAGAACGTGCACGAATGCAAATGTAACACGTAGACCATATCTGAAAATTGTTCACGGGACTTTATTAAAAATTTAATATATTTTCTTGAAAAAATAATTATTTGGTTTAATGAAAAATAAAAATGAACAAACCTGTGTACACCAAATTCTATAAAAGAAAATATGATTCGAGAATAATTTAAAAGCAATAAGTAAAAAAATATAACAGACATGTACAAGGCGATTTTTTCTATCATGGGCCACTCAGTAATCCTCTAGGCTTAACTAATAATTGAATTGATTATTCATAGTGTTTTCATACATTATGACCACAATTTCTTTATTATGATAATGTTCCTAACTCCTCCAAAACTGATTATTTTCATATCAATTTTTAAAACTAAAATGGCAACGCATACATTTTATTAACTTTTCAAATTGAGATAAAAGTACTAACAATTTTGACTGGTCCAAGTTGCTATAAAACAACCAATTTATAGGCGCTAAGAAAAAAACAAATTGTGGAAAATTGAGATTACATTATATGAAAACACTATCAAAAAGAAAATGTTGAACTATTGATTAAACACAGTGAGATTTAGTCGCCAACGTTAAAAAAAATCACCCTGTATACGTTATTTATTTTATAACAAAAGTGTCGCTAATTTTTTTTATAATTTATTATAGTGCTCTGCATCTGCAAAATATATTTTAATTTTACTTCTTTGGTTGACAAGTCAACACACCGACCTTACGACTAGTTGCAAAAAAATCACTGTAACACAAAAAGTAAAACAAGCTTTTAGAATTGATATTTTTCTTATAAGTTATATTATTTGAATAATTATTTCAATCATTTTGTCCAGCACTATGAAGCTTCTTTACATTTTAATAACGCTTGCTTTTGTAAACGTTGCGCGAATTATGACAGGTAATTATTTAATTTTTACACGTACCTTTGCAAGGTAGTTAAAAATCTCAATAGAAAATTCAATATTTAATTATTTCTCATAGCGCACTATGCAAATTCGGTTTTCATTACAAGTCAGTACCAAATTTTCATACAGTACACAATTTTTAAAAAAAATGTTTAACTATACACATAAGTTTGAAATAATTTATTACAGACAAATACATCAAGGAGACTTTTGATGCAGGTAAGATACATTTTGATTTTCAGATGATTTATAATTTTAAAAAAAGCTAAAGTTAAAATGAACAAGTGTATAAAAACTAGCTTCAATTTATTATTTTTAATTTAAACAATTTGTTTCTATGAGCATTGGACATTTTTTTTTTTTAGACCAAAAAAAGTCGACAACATCGGATGGTCTAATAAAAATTGTGCAAAAAAATTCTGGTGTTTTAGTTATATTACTATGTTATAAAGCAAGATGATTTTTATCTTAACATTTCAGTTTACTGTAATTAAATATATGAAATTTGCAAGTTTTTAAATAATAAAACCCAATTTTTTTACATAACAATGGCACAAAATTGAAAACTATTTCTTACATAATCTAGTAAAGTTGCCAAAAAACTCGTCTCTACAGAATTGAAATCGGACCGTCCCAAGTAGTCGAAATTTTGTCTGGCTTTTTGGTCTAGATTTACAAAGAGCCAAACACATACAATCCCTTTAACATAACAGGTTGAGTAGCGTTAGGTTAAATAATAACCTTAAAGCTATGTATGTTCTGAAAGTTTTTATGTATAATTTTATGCATTATTATGTTTTTATTTGAAATTGTGTATATAGCTGTAACACTATATTTTGCTTATAGATCCTGATGGATTGGCCACTGCAATTTCAAATATTATCAACGATAATAATAAAACGATAGGTAATCATTATTATGTAACAAAAATAAATTTAAATACAGATTGCTACCAAAAAAAAAATGTTAAAATTATAGTGTTATAAAAAAACCGAACATCATTAATTCACCAATTTGTATTATTCCAATTTCAGCGACACTTAATTCGATGCTGGCTATACCGGGTATTAATATTTCTTATCACTTATTAGACGTATTTCGAAGTAGTTGATTGATAATAATTAACAACTAATTTGAGCAAATCATATTTTCGTCTTAATTTCAGAAAAAGCAAATTTCTGGATTACAATTGAACATGGTAACCAATTTTTAGCTACTACTAATACTTAACACAGATTATGGTATGCCGATATAATACATTTTTTTGATCTTTTCATGTCTTAGGTCTGGCATATAACCGAAAAAATTGTCACGAAAAAAATGTTAATAACAAAAAAAGCGTTATTAAAATAGCGTTACATAAACTATCACGCTGTTATCTGATAAGAGATAAGAGATAATCGATTAGAGATAAAAGATGAGAGATTAGGGATGAAGGATGGGGATGAGATGGTGATGTAGATGGGGTTAGGGATGTTAATTTTTTTTAATTATATGTTGTTTTCACAATGAAAACACTTGATTGAATGGTTAAATTGATTCAAAATTACAAAATTATTTTAAAAAATTTTATTCTCAAAAAAAAGTTTTGTTTTAATTTCAGATGAACCATTTATTAATAATTTACCAGGTAACCTATTTGTATATAGTTTAATACTCCTACTACTAACACTCCATACAGTTTCTTATACAAGTACATTTATTACGGTTTTTGTTTAAATACCTCGAGATTTTTTTTTTTTTTATCATGGGAACTTTCAATTTTTCCTAATCTAAAATATTAACACTTCTATCATAAGAAAATATCTTTTATAGTAATTTTTTGTATATTTTCAGAACATATTGCTATAGCTGATGAGGAGGCCGTGCAACAAGCAATTTTCAATGTTACAAGTAAATATAAAGTTTAACATAATTTTTGCAAACAATTTTCAAAACTATAGCTATATTATAATTTTTGATACAAGTCTTGATAATCTATTGAAATATAACTCAAACCAGTGTATATATTTATACATTGAATAGGATTTTACTGGAAAATAATTAAATTTTTTTACAGATATCCCTGTTCCTCAACTTGGCTCAAACGAAAGTAAGTAAGCATTAAATAACTGACATCAATAATTCTAATATCTTAGTTTAAAAGCCAATAAACCATTTTTTTTTAAAATTTTATTTTAAAACACTGTCACTTATTATTTTTCTCAGATTTTGAAAATGATTCATTGTTACAGCTTGGAGAAGCCAGAAGACGTATAACTGGATATGTTACAAAAAATTTGCTTATCGCTGCAATAGGTAAATGTTAATATTTTGTGTAGTTGGGTACTAGATTACTTTTAATTATAATTGTACTACTTGATTTACCAGTGAAAAAACACATTTTTAATTTATACGGCACCTCAAGAGGTAATCCTTTTGGCTACATAGATTCTTGAATAGCCTATGCTAACGCCAATTGAAATTCGTTCTCCGTTTAGAGAAAGTAAATCCAAAAGTATTACCGTTTGATTTTATGTAGATCAGTATAGTGTCGATCCAAATCTTTAAATAAATACCCAAAGGTGGTTACATACTATGATTTGTCATTTTACAAAGGACTTTGGTTGTCTTACATATATTCTTCATTGATTATTCCATTCAGAAAGGCTGTTGTCACGTCCATTTGAATAATATGCATGTTCTTGTGTACTGCTTGTGCTATTAATATGTCATCAGTCACTATGGTGATGACAGGCGCATAATAATCACTTAAATATTAAATTTATAATTTATACACATCTGAAGCTCTAAAGTTATGAAGTTCTGAAGCAAACTGCGGTTATTTTATCTCAAATGTATTTTAATCAATTTCGATTCAAAATAGGTTACATAAAATAGAAATGTTTTTATGGGTATTGAATTTATTTTTCTATGATTTTGCTTATACACGTGTATAAGCTGTGTTTTGAACATAAAACAAAAGTAGATATAAGGTAAAATTGACTAGTTTTTAATAACATTTTTTTTAATTATTTTTAAGATGAAGAAACACCAGGAATTCCCTACCTTACCAAAGTTTGCCGTCTATTAAGTTTGCTCCGAAGTATGCGATTCCCAGAATCGTATATAAAATCCATTTATGTTGAACCTGGTTTTTATTGTATTTTAACTTCACAAAATGACAGATTCCTATACAGAATGCTTATGGGGCTTATTGTTGCGGTAAGGCCAATAGTTCCTAATAGTACTGTTTATGTGGATGTTTTGAGTGAGATAGATCCTTGGTTCCCGTACATACATTAAAGAGACCATAATTCGTAGCTATATTTAAAAAAATTACATTACATGTGCTGTTGTTATTTTAATTTAATAATATTTAAATGTCGCACTGTATCTTAATTGTCATTTCACTCAATGTATTACAAAATAAACAATTTCTTTCAGTAAAAAAAAAAATTACCCTTAACCACTTGTGACTTTATTAAACTCTGACAATTGCAGTGTTAAACATGAATTTGAAGTTATAATCCAACAAAATCCTAACAGTGAAAAAGAGCCAAGTTCCAGAACCCCATCCAAAAAAATCAGTCTAATAAATTAGTTCATAACTTCACTTCATTTTTACTTCCTTGTGCTACACTGTTTTTTTTAAATGTATTATTTAACACTTGGCCAGTTTCTGAATTAATCATGATATTTCTAAATGAGGCATAAAACAGACTTGACCACTACTCTGATTGGCTTTGACGATGTTACGCCACATATTCGGCCTCTTTAAATCAATTATTTTGCAAGATATCTAAGAGCAAGAATAGTAAATGTTGAATTCAACATACTTTTGTTATCGTAATCTGCTAGATATAAAGAAAAAAAACTGAAATATGCCTTAGCTTAACTTTGTCGAAGTTCCTCCAGTGGGAGGATTCTTTTTTCCGTCAATCTGCTCTTTATAAATACTAAAATGCTTATTGTATTATATCGTCTTAGTTATATAAATTAAAATTAAAGAAAGAAAAAAAATCCATAACAATATCTCAACAAAAAAAGATATAGGATTTCTAGCTAAAAAAAATGATAAAAATATTGGAATTCGTTCAGCAGAAAAGTTTTAATCTCGACATTGAAAACCGATTTTGGACAAAAATGTAATAATAGCGGCTAATCAAACAGGGCACAAAATACATTTCTCATAGTGCTACATGTATGATAATATTATTGTTAACCGTTTTTGAATGTGTTTTATAAACTATATTATGTACCTACTATACCTACGGAGTATTGGCTCACGCTAAGAAATGTGTCAATATAGCCTTTAAGTATAAAAACACTCGATATATGAATGCATGTGAATATCATTGAAAGGCGTTTGTGCAGTATGTCTTTTTCCCAATTGCAAAATATAATAATATAATATAACCATTTAAATCATCGAATCAGTCCCACGGAGCCGAAATAATAATTATTAAAACAACATACATCAGCCTCGAATACATCACATTTTGGCAGTGAATATAATTATTTGTTTTTTGGCAATTCCCCAAAAAATCATAACGTTATTAATGGTAGGTAAATAATAAGTAGTTTAATTGGAGAAATTTGGGATGTAGGTAGCAAAATAATTGTTTCTGTTTCTAAGTTTTTAGAAATTTTTTGATAAATATAAAATCAAAAGTCTCAAAAATGTCAAAAGTCCATTAATAGTTATCAGGTTGTTTTGGTTATTTTTTTTTATTAAATGAGGCTAATCGAAAAAAATGTATTAGACACTCTTTTACTTGTTAAATAACATATTTTGTTTGTAACTGTTGATATAATACATAATATTTTATATACTAAGTATGTGGCAATATAAACATGGTATTTATCTTCATAATAAAAATACTTAGTTAACAGGAAAATGTTATTGAAAAACAAGATTGATTTGTAAACCCTCGTGCAGTCATGGATTTGGTTTAAGGGTTCTGGGCTCATTCTATCTGTAAACTTTATGTATACCATATAAGTGTGTTATTTTTACCCTGTTTACTATTTTCTATGTAATATTATAATATATTATTGTAATTAATATATGCGTTTGACAATAGTAGTGTGTTCAATCATTTAATTGATTCGTGTTGTGCTTATTTATTTGATTTCACTCTTTGTAATATTATATGCTAAATATTAGTGTATAATATATTTTCATCAGTAACATTTTGTTTTTTACTAGATATTACACAGATATTTTATCATAGCGCTGGTTTGAATTGAAAGTCTACACATTTGCAGTGAAAACCAAATTGTTATTGCGTTTTCTGCTGTTATTGTCGTCGCGGTTTTTCTTATTTGTACAATTCTTTCGCATACAAAAGTATTACCTTGAAAAATAATTTTTTTTTTAATTTTATTATTCTTACTGTTGTTTTCGAGTAACAGTATTTTTTGTCCCTAAAATTGTAACAATATTCGCTTCATAACAATGTAAATATTTTCTGTAAAATATACTGAAAAACATGTTTTGATTTTCCTATTTTGGTTGACTCCTCGACACACCGATTCTACGGTTAGTCGCAAGAAAATCACTGTAACACAAAAATTAAAACAAGCTATTCTAACTCATATTATTTTTCTTATAAGTTGTTTTAATTAAATTATTTCATTAATGTTGTCCAGCACTATGAAGCTTTTCTGCATTTTTATAACGCTTGCCTTTGTGAACGTTTCGCCAATAATGACAGGTAATTATTTTATTTTTTAAAAACCTTTTTACGCACCTTTTTGATGTAGTTGAAAATTTAAAAAAAAAACTCAATATTTTATTATTCCTCGTAGCGGGAGGAAATTGGATCTATGGAAATTCGGTTTACATTACAAGTCGGTACCGATTTTTCATACAATATAATTATTTTTTTTATTTTATCATTTTTATACATAATTTTGAAAAAATCAATTACAGACAAACACATTGAGAAGGCTTTTGAATTAGGTAATATACATTTAATAATAATTTTTATATGATTTATAAATTAAAAGCTACCTTTAGTCATACTTGGTGATGTTATTTTATCTTGAACCACTCATTATCTCAATGGGTTTAATAAGAAATTAATTTTTTTTCCCCATAATGTTCTACAAGGTACAATATAATCTCAATTTTTCACAATTTTTCTTGTTTTTAGCTTCTATAGCCCAGTTAGGGTCTTCACTGTTTCTACTATTTGATGTCATCTACCTCCTCTAGTTTTCTCTCTAGTACTCTTTTCTAGTTTTGATCCTGGTGCACATTTTTCGAGGTCTGATTCGACTATGTCTATCTACCTCTGTCCTCTAGATCTTTTCCCATTGATAGTGCCTGTCATTACATCTTTTTATATACTATTGGATTTCCATGTGTGTCCCGCCCATTCCAAGCGTTTGCCTCTTATAAATGACATGATATTGGACTTTGGGTACATCTGGTAAATTTCTCTATTAGTTCTTATTCTGTGATCCCCGTTTTCTATGATAGGGCCATAGTTACGTCGATATTCCAAATAATGTATATTTTCGGGCGTTATTTCGTCCACCGTCACCCCACACCACCACAGTGCCCATCACCACCGACTACTACTACTACTACTGTGAGCATTTATTTTTAATAATAAGTACTGCGCCTTTTGGTTTTTCATTAAGTTGGACTTTGGACCGTGAAAAGTTGTATTGGTTTTATAAAATTAGATAGTATATCTAGACATGTATTCGAATATAACCAGCAGTTTTTATATATATAGTGACCTGGAAAGACCGTATTAATAACAAAACCTAACACCAAATCATGTGTATGTATTGAATGCAAACGTTACCGACTATTATGGCCGATAAAATGTTTTATAATAGCACCACATACTAAACAATAATTTTTTATCATAGCCAATGTGGTACTTGTGAGTACCGACCCACCAGAAACAAGAAAAAAATATCATATGGCTTTGTATGATTTTTTTTTTTCGGTGGACTCATAAGTGCCGTCGGTCGACAAATGGTTAAGCCGCGTAGTATACGTACCCCGCACCGCAAAGTCAACGCGCATCCGCGCTTTCCTTTCGATAATACACACTAAATTATATATATATATATATATATATTATATAAATTATTATTATTATTACGGTAAAATATTGTTTGCCCTAAGAACACCCTGATTTTCAAAATAAAAATAAATAGAAAAATAGTGGTTTTCCGACTTGTTATAAACTTTATTATAAAATAATTTGAATAAAATGGGTGTATTTGAAGAAGCAAAGGTGGTTATCGAATTTTACATAGGTCTTTTATTTTTGTAATATTAGGTCCAAATATTTCATACAAAACTATTTCGTTGTGAGAAATATACTAGTATATTATAAAAAACGATAGCGTGTAAACAACACACTGTTAGAAAAATATATTTTTTTGCGTTGTATTTACCTTACATTCGCATCGATATGAAAAACATACCATGAGTAATAACAATCCCCATAAAAATACTTAATAACGGTCTATGTAGCCGGATTTTTTACACTGTTAGATGCGTTAGTATATATAAAAGACATTTAAATGTTTTTATTTACCGTTGTTTTTGGTGCCTTATTTTTGTAAAGCATTTTTCGGATCGTTGTGAACAACATTTGATCAAAAGCCCTTAAAAAACACTTCTCTAAATCAATACACAATCACAAAAACAGTTTTATAAATTTGAAATTCAGCACACACTAAGGTGTTGGAAAACAATTTGAAATCGACATGATTTTCAATTTAAAATATGTAGGATCAATTTTGTACCCCGAGTGGTTCTTATATTTATTTAATATATCATTTGTTTTTTCCCTGCACTCCGTGATGACATCCCCACAATAAACAGACTTACTTAGTTTATGAAACATCCATGGCATCGTTTGTCAAGTTCGGTTATCTTAAGTCCTTTGTAGCTCATAAGTAATTTAATGTTAACCGACGAAAACTGGTGAACGAGCCAAGAAGAGAAGAAGCAGCGATAGAGCTCCAGAAGAAGCTCGAAGACATTTTTGCCAAGGGTCAGTTTGAGTTACGTAAATGGTCCAGCAATTTTAAAAACAACTAAGTTATTCCCCCCCCCCCATTCTTTTGTCTATGGTCCCTTAAACTTAAACACTGGCCAGGTTAAATTTGTACTATTTTTAGTTAATTTTGCAATAGCGAAGTAGTGTTTAAATACTAACGTTTTGTCCAATTTTTCTTTATTAAAACACCTTTTACCTATAGACAATTACTGTATTATTATCCAAACTGGTCGAGATCCCTTAAAGTGCTGTGTACTCATGTTCTGAAAATTATTTTGTGTTATTTTTCACATAATTATGATTTTATTTGACATTTTTTATACATCTCAAACATTTATTTGCTTTTAGATCCTGCTGGATTGAAAACTGTAATTACAAATTTAATTAATGGAAGCGAAACGATTGGTAGTCATTATTATATAATACTTATATATATATATATATATATATATATATATATATATATATATATATATATATATATATATATAGACTGCTACTAAAAAAGGAAAATGTTTTAGCAATAATAACAAAATCCAACATCATTAATTTATTAAGTTATTATTCTTTTTTCAGCACAAATTAATTTGAAGTTGGCTATACCGGGTAATAATATTCTTATGATTTTTCAAACGTACACAGTTACTTGATAATGATTATAACTAAATTAGACATAATGTATTTTTGTTTTAATTTCAGAAAAAGCAAAACTTTTTAGCATAATTCAAGAAGGTAACTAATTGTTATAATATACTACTATCAATCTTTTAGACTCTTAAGGTTCTCATAATTACACAACATGCAAAAACTCATTACTAAAGATTTCATCAAAAACTACATAGCCATTTAAATTGTCCCGTCAAAATTTTGTCCTCTCTTTCATTTCCCGACAACATCCACCGTAGTCTAAAAAAAGAATGGTCTCGAGGTTTAAAAAAATAAATTACAAATTACCAATTTAAAACTTTTAAAAAAAAATTGGTATATAATCAACACAGAAACTACAAAACTATTAAAACTTATATTCTGAGGTTTCATACGTGAATAGCCCTCTTTGGGACATTCATGTCATGTGTGTACATATTATGTCTTTAAATTTACCTATTGTTGTGAATTAACTGATTGTAAACATTTTTATAATAATGAAAAAATAAATAAATAGTCGGAAATATTTCCAAATAGCTTAATAATAATCATTGTAACTAAGACGGGCAAAATATATTTTCGTTTTAGATGTAGGAGGACATTCCTTTTTTCCCTTACCAGGTAACCTATATTTGAATATATTATTTGGTTTTTTCATATTTTTCGTGTTTTTTTTTGTTTCTCTTAAGGTTTACACTTTGGTTCAAAAGTGGCCTACTCGGATGAGAAATCTTAAAATTCTAGATCCCTAGCTCAACAATAATAAGTACCTAGTAATTGATTTTTCATTTGATAGGAAAATGGGAAATTTTAATTTTTCATTGAAAAAAATTCAGTTTGAAAACATATCAAATTTTTTCAACATAAATTAATATTCCGTAAACTCAAAAAAGGAAACAGTTTTTATCTTTGTGTTTTTTAAGTATCACATGTCAACATTAAGAGAATTATTTTTAACTATAAAAATTGTAGTTTACTTTTCAAGTAGGAATTGTTTAAATGAAAAATTTAATTACAATTTCACATGATAATGAAATAAAAAAATCACGAAAAATTACAAAGAGTTAAGTTGGGAATCTAAAAATTTAAGGATTTCTCATTTCACCAACTGACGAAGAGGGGGGGGGGTTGAAAAATAAATTTATTATTTTGGATACAATCGAATAAGTTGTCATTTCTGTCATAGAATATATACGAGTATATGTATACACTTCAGAACGTAATGCCATAGCTGATCAGGAGGCATTGCAAAAAGCCATAACCAAAGTCACAAGTAAATATATAGTTTAAATACATGTATGTTTGCGAACAATTTTCAAAATTCATATTTACTAAGTTTTAACCAAATTCGATAAATATATTAAAGGAATTCAAAGTCATAAAGCTATTGCTGTACATATTATGGTTTTTGATGCCAGTCTTGATGATCGTTTCAAATATAATTTAACCCTGTGTACACTATTTTACATTTATTAAATGGGTGTTATTTTTGTGGAAAATAATTTAAATTTCCATAATTTTTTTATACAGATATCCCTGTGCCTCAACTTGAAGAAAATCAAAGTAAGCAAACATTTTACTGACTGACCTATGTATTCCTAAACACTTAGGTAATAATTAGAAGTTCATATAGGTTAATAAAAATATTTCATTCGACTTTTCAAAAAAAAAAACACAGTCTACTTCATAATAATCGTATAAAGTATAATATAGCTAACTAGTAAAATTGGGGTTCATTTTTGTAAGTAGTTTCTGCACAACATGTTAGTTACCTTAAAAGTGTCACAGAAACGTTGTATGTATACTGACAAAATGTATCTTAAATTAAGTGACAATATTAGTGACTCCATTATGTTCTGAAGACGTTATACCTCTAATTTATTTATTTTCACAGTTATTCCGCTTGATTCATTGCCACAGCTTGGAATAAATAGAAGACTTATAACAGGAAAAGTTACAAAAGAATTGCTTCTAGCTGCAATAGGTAAATACTAATAATTAGTGTAGATTTGAACTGGTTTTGATTTTAAACATAATTTTGCTATTTGGTGTACCACACAAACGATAAATTTATCATTTTTACACACGCCAACGAGTTATCTTTTTTCAACGAAGATTTCTTTTTCAATAACAATAATAATAATTATAGGAATTATATTAATTTATAATTCAAGTACAAACAATACAAATAGGTATAGAATATACAGTCTAAGTCTTCAATGAAAAAATAGTTCTGAACAAAAAACGAAAATAGTTAGTTGTAAGCTAAGATTGGCAAATTTTTAAAAATAATTTGTTTTTTTGTTTTTTTTAAGATAAAGGATCACCGGAATTCAAAAACCATACCGAGTTATGTCGTCTAGTAGCTTTGCTGAAAAGTATAAGAAACCCACATAAATATGTAAAAACCGCTGAAGTTGATTCCACTACGAATAAGTGTATATTGAAGTCATTCGATGGAACATTCATATACAAACCTTTTCAAGAGAATTATGTTTTGGAAAGACCATCCTTTGATGAGATTGGACTTGTTAACGTTAAGGAACAGATAAGAAATTGGTTCGTGGATAACCACGTGTGATTTTATCAAATACTCTTCATTACAGTATTTAATGTCCATTTGTATTATCTGTCCACAATGTAATAAAAAATGTACCTCAGAAATAATTCAACAGTGTGTATTTTGTTTTATAAAAAAAAATTGATTTTAGTTGTGTTACTATTGTACGTTTCAAATAAAAAACCGATTACCTAATATAAAGACTCTGAAATTAACATGAACAATTATTCAGAGTAGAATAAAATGTTATATCGAATTCTAGATTTTTTAAAAATGGTTTGTGAGCCTAAAACATATCTGGTTGTCATCAAGTAAAAACATTGACAATATTGTGGTCTAGCATGCAATGATCCGCATCGAAACGTTTTTTTAATGTTATTTGATAAGAACTTTGCGCCTATTGAATTATATTATACATACATTTTGTGGTTGGTAATCAGAGGTGTGACTGACAGTTGTTATTGTTTTATATGAATTAGTATTATGATAACAGAAACAAAATAGATATTATTTACAACCGTTATGGTTTTTATTAAGCGTTCTACCTGCTCTATTTTATTATTACTACTATTGCCTATTGTCTAAATTTATCACTGAAAACCCAACACAAACCGAATGCTAGGTACCAAGACAAAGTGGCTCTTGTCTAATTAACTTTGATTAATATTGCCAATGAGTGGTGTAATAATTGAGAGTAGGATTTATAAGCTTTTTTTTTTTTTGACACACACACATAAAATAACGTTTTAGCCGACTTTCAGTTTTTCGGTTTTCTACCGAACCGGATGTGTGCCGCCGACTATCCGTCACGATAATAATATATTATTATTATTGTTATTGTATTGTAGATGGTCGTTGACAATAATTACACGGTTGTCGCTTAACGTCGGATTAGCACAACTGCTTTCCGAAAACGTCGTACTATTTGTCCGTTAAAGGTTAATGGATTCCGCGGTTTAATAATGCGGTAAAAGTGTGCTTCGTATAATATTTTACCGGACATATTTGAATAACCGGCACCGTTGAAATTGTTTACATAATACAGGGTGATCACACGAGAAGAGTTATGTATGCGTTAGCTTATAAATTTCAAAAGTATCAAAAACAAACAAAAAATTGATAGGGGTGAAAACGAAAAAACTCGTAAAAAATTGAGATCACACTGTATAAAAAACATTGAAAAAAAACTGATTGTTTTATGTTTAGTTTTAACTTGTGCAGTAGAAAACACTAGAATGGACTTTGTTGCTGAGTGTTTAACCATATCTTCGACTTCAACAGTCTTAAACTAATCGGTGGTATGTTTTGTTATTTATTTGAAGGTATTACACCATTTGTATAGAATTACATTGTGTTTTTATGTCGTGTCCGAAAGCACACGCCATTGTTGTACAGAATTTCCACAAAGACACATAACCAGCGCGTTTTTAATCCAATTCTTTGGCAACATCTTGATCAGGACAAAAAAATAAATTAAAAAAATAACTCTATTTCTATCGGCTAAACCTTTTTTAGTTTTGTGCGTACCTCGATTCGATGTGTACGCACTATTGACGTCCAACAGTCGAACACGTTAGTGTTTGCTTTTATTTTTTTCACATAAAGAAACTAGCAGCATACGTTTCACGCGTTCTAAGACACTTAAAAATCGGTTTCAATCGGTCTATACGATGGTATATTTGCTAAGCCTTAGAAAGTATTTGTTTTTTTTTTTTGTGTACAATACTTTTTGTTTAAATCGTGCACACTGCGTGCCCTAACTATTGTGTATCTACTGAATATTCGTTTTTCAACTTAACCAAACGTTGGGTACAACCGTAACTTAATCAACGACATTCTATATCACATAGTCCATAGCTCTCTGTGACAGTTCTTCTTCTTTCAAACGAATTAAATTTAATGTTTCCCTCGAAGGAACGCGTTGGATCATGACCATGTCATATAACTGACGCCCAACCATAAGATATAACTAGTCATGTTAAAAAAAAAAAGTGAATGAACACATAAGAATCGAGCTATCTTCTGTGGCCATTGCGGATCGCTGAAATGTAAATTTTCACATGATCGAATTTTTTCTAAATGTTATGTCATCGTGATATATTATCAGTGTGTACCCCATTAGCCAATTGGATTAATAAACTATACAATATACATATTATATCTAAAATACGGAAGTCCCTATATTATAGTTCAAATAGCCACGGTAGGTCAGAATTTCCAGTAAACGCGGCCAATGAGATAGGCCGTGCTGGTGGTGATGGCTTCCGCGGCGTCGCGGACGTGTGGGTCGCCGTGCCGGAGGAAGCCGTGGGCAACGTGGGCGATATCCACGAGACTGTCCAACACCGCCCTGGTAATGTCCGGCCGGCAAGCGTACGAGGGGTCGTTCTCCAGCAAGCTCACCCAGCTGGCATACACGCTGGTCTGCAGGATGCTTATGGCCAGCTGCATGACTTCCAAAGTCCTAGGGTTCTCCGGTTGGTCCGGCCGGCCGAGGTCGCCTCCGCCTTCGTCACCCAGGAAGTATCTGTAATATATTACAGAAAACAATTCATTTATATATAGATAAGTACGAGTGGCATGACTAGGGAGGATAGAATAAGAAATGAATACAAAAGAGAGAGTCTAGGATTTGCCTCAATTGTGGGAAACTCGAGAGAGAATGCGTTGAGATGGTTCGGTCATGAGAAGAGATTAATTATTCTATTACTACATACCCTTCAGATGGCAGCTCGGCTTCTTCGCCGCAACCCTTGCTGTTGGGGTTGTAAGAGCTTTGCTTGGGTGTCATCTATATTGTATCTACCCGAACCAGCCACGATGATCAAACGCCGACAGTGTGTCGCAAAACAGTATGCTCGACTTAAGTACAAATCGCTAGGGGAAAAAAAAACGATTCCAGACAATGTTAAATCCCACAAAAAAAAATAACAAACACGACCAAACGGTTTCCATCACGATTTAAGATAATATGGTTGCTCGACGGCCAACGACAATACTCTCATCTCAAGTTAATTCAAAAAACATCTGTTTCGATTGACTTGACTGTTTATTCACTCTCACGTAGTCACCTGAAAACTTACAAAGGTCAATGTGTAATCTTCCCATTTTTTGGGAGGGTCTTAGAAGTCTAAATTTTAAACATTCCTAGAAAAAGTAAAATTTGATCTATCGAAAAATCGCCGCTCCTCAACACATAAAATATTCTCCTCTATTTTTCAATTTGGCAATTTGGTGATTCTAATACCGCCACAGCCTCTACAGTATTGATTCGGATAAACCCCGAAAATTCAACGGTAATAGACAATAGTAACATAATATATATATTATATTTAAAGGCACGGATAAAGAAGGTCAGTGGTCCGTTAATGTAGATTTTTCAGGAGAGCAAAACAGAGTCGACTTGAGCGCACATATCTTTGTGTCAATCGTTTCAAAATGAGTGTTTCGCGTTAAATGGACCGTCCTGTGTAGTACACGATGGACAAGGCACTTAATGTCAGATAAAAAGTTTCCATATATTATAACAGCTATATATGTATATACAGTTTACTTACATATTGACATATTGTTGCGGTGTGTAGTAGCTGTGATTGTAGCGGTGACTCGATGGCATTTCACAGGAGATTACCGGCAAACGAGCCGCCAAAGAGATGTTCATTTTACTCGACCTAAAGCGTTTCCAATGCTGTGACGGGCATATCGTTTTGTCTGCCTACCTACCTATTTTTTTTTTAAGCCGCTACATCGTTTGAGAAGCTTTAAACCCGTCAAAGAGACATCATCCGTGTACCGTTTTTATTCTCTGTCAACTCACAAAACCGAATGGTATCTCTTGAGAAGTCTCCGCCGACTAGTTGTATTGTTAAGATACAACTAGGTAACTCACAAGGCGAGTCCCAACTTAGCGGTCAAACTGAGAAACGATGCGTTCAAGTGTAATGACGGAAGAAGAAATTATTGCAGAAAAACCATCTGAGAACAGAGTGCTTCGAGTTTAATTAGACAACGAGGAAACGTCAAAAGGAAGTACAGAGTGATTCGTTTGGGATAAGACAGTTGTTTTCTTTTAAAATAATTGAAATTTCGAGGTTTTTCTTTTTCTAGACACTTAAGTTATACTCTGTTCGGCTTGCAGAGAAAGTGCTGAAGTCAGTTGAGAAACTCGAGTATTTTGATGAAGTTATATGCAAGAAACCGAAAAACATATGGTAAACATTGTGATTGGACGAGGTGGATAGGACAACAGGGACTTTGTGTGACAGAAAGGTTTCATTTAGTGTGAAAGGTAAATCAGATAAGAGTAGATTAGGTCTGTGAAAACAATAGATGTTACTCTAGTTGAATAGGGAAAATGTTCTGAATAATATTCTTGATTACTTTGATATCATCAAACAAATCAACTCAAGACATACTCGAGTGGTTGTATTAGTTTTAAAATCATTTCCTGTTACCGACAAATGGTCTTGGTCACGTCGAGTAGGTGCGACTCACCGTTTGGCGGATTTAGTCATTTTTGAAAGGTAGTCTGACAGCTTTCTTAAATATAATATATATTGTTATTAATAATGAATATATAATTAATGCCAATGCGGGCATAATACACTGTGCAATAGTAAAATACTAATATCGGGTGTGCCTTTTAAACGTGATTAATTGCCGTCGATCGATGGTCGATTAGTTTTAATTTTTCATAGCAAAACAATGCCAATAAAGTATTTCAATAATAATAATTATCACGAATATATCCGACAAGAGAAAACTGCATTTGGTGTTATCGAATAAACTTGTTTGCAAGTATGTAGCTAGAATAAACGCCATGTGCAAAATCGGTGAACTTGCCAGTTTGGTTAGGTTTAAATAACTATTTTATTTTTTAATAAATCTAAATTTTTTAGAATTGGAAACATTTAATATTTACACTAGTAGTTATAAAATTACTCTACATATTTTAGTATTACATTCAGAGGGCCTTGGCTGTAGTTTATTAACTCGAGTCGAGTTAATAGAAACTGTTATAGAACTATTTCAAATAGTTGGTGTATAATTACTTTTAATTTAATTTTTAATAAATGTATTATATGACAGAAGTCTG